AAATTCTATAATAATGTGCCATAAATGTTCTATAATAATGTGTCATAAATCGCACTTCAATTAATTAAATAATACCTGACACGCTCTGATTAGAGCTATTAGCAGAGCTGTTAGTAGAGTAGCTGTCACCGTCCATGTTTAGTGATAACTAATTACCTTGTAATCGTAATCAACTGTCTTGCCCTCATTAACGATGTCCCAACATTAGCAAACCAATGATTCCCTTCAGCAAAGCAATGTTTTCCGTTGGCAATGTAAGGCCTTCGTCAGGAATTCTACGTGTGACTCCTGTCCCCATACATCCGAAGGGTGTAACAGGCCACACAGATGGGTGCTGTTTGCCTTGAGGACTGTTGTAGCCTTAGGTCCAGCAGCTCATTTTGACAATGCAGAGCATTTATAGAGCAACGTTTATTGAAATACTCTCACAACCAGAGTACTCATAAGTGAGAAACGGAAGCATAAGGCAGGGACGCTGTGCTGGGTTCTAGCAGTCTACGATGGGGTTCATGTTAATAAAATTGCATGACAACCCTCGTAAATATGCCAGAACTGAGAAAAAACAGCACAATAGGGAAGATGGCAAGGGTAAGCATAGAAACTGGATCACAGTGATGGTGACAGAGAAAATAATTGGAAATACAGGGACGCTGTGCTGGATTCTAGCAGTCTACGATGGGGTTCATGTTAAAAAAATTACATGACAACCCTCGTAAATATGCCAGAACTGAGAAAAATACAAAAAAAAACAGCACGACAAGAATGATCACGTAAAAACAAATACAGTCCTCATCATTGCGGACCGGTGGGGCGTGGCAGTGCGGCTGCATTTGGTGCGGTTTGGCAAAGTCGTTCTGCACCAGTTTTTGAAGCGGGCAAGTGCATTACTGTATTATATCCTTCGTATTACTCGTTTTCTACCACTTTTTGTCGCATACGCGTTGCAAAAAAAGGCTGAGAACGGCTTCAACAGTGTGCGCACTCCTTCTGGCTGACACGCCCCACCGGTCCGCAATGATGAGGACTGTATATAAAAATGTTAATGTAGAGTAAAAAAATGTAAAGAGCAGCAAAATACAACAGCAGAGTTTCACAAAAAGATGGCGGCGAATATTAGCAATGTAGTAGTGAATAGTAGATGGTAGACGTTGTTGCTGCACAGGAATTCAAAGAAATTGCTATAGCAAAACTTCCCATAATGTGGGTCGAGGACGCCGTGAAACAACGCTAATCCTTTGCTCCAGTGACAACTCGGGAGTACGGTAATGCCAGGCAGTAAAACTCGTACGCCCCGCCCACCAGCGCGGTGACCCACTTATTGTCGACGATAGAATAGACCGGGACCCCTCCCCAACCTACCAAGGTATACCAGCTCTCAGAAGAAGATTTGGAGCGACTGTTGCGGTCTCGCACGAATCCCTCACCCACTCATACTACTCCTAGCCACTCATTCACAAGAACCGGACTAGCCAGGCAATTTGAATTCAACAACGAACTGCTAAACATCGTTCGGCCAATCGTCGACCAAGCGATAGAGGGATCGGACGTCAAGAAGGACTTGGAGAAGGCGGTTTCTCTGTTAACAGCTAGGAACGAGCTTCTTATCGTTGCGGACGGTGACCTCTCAGTATTCGCATTCTACGATCAACACAAGAAGGCGGAGGTTGCGAAAGACCCAGTTATAGCCGCCTTTCTCAAAGCGAAGGAAAAAGAAGTGCCCAGACCTCGTAAAACTAGTGTCTGGAAGGCTCCTCGTTTTGATCCATATGAGAGGAGCAAAACTCCCTTTCGGAACCAGAGATCGGCCTGGGCACCCGCATCTCTTCCCTACATGCCCCAACCTTCTCAGTTCTACCCTAAGGAACAAGGATCGAGCAGAAGCACCAAAATGGAAAGCAGAGCAGCCCCTAGATTCGCGAATTCGAGAGATATGTGCTTCGAGTGCGGCCGCTTTGGTCACTTCGCCAACGAGTGCAGATTTGGCAGGAGAAGCAACTGATTTTGTAGCAGGTAGCATCCATTCTAGGATGGATTTTTGGAGTACATTGAAACTTTCAGCTTTGATTAGATATGTTTTGAAGGAGGGTTACCTCCCTTCATTTCGAGTTTT